AATGGCCAGGGCGCCTGGGTGGCTCAGTGGGTTGAGCGTCCGACTTCGGCTCAGGTCATGATCTCACAGTTTGTGGGTTCAAGCCCCGTGTTGGGCTCTGTGCTGACAGCTCAGCCTGGAGCCTGCTTCGAATTCCATTTCCCTCTCTCTCTGCCCCTCCCCTGCTCATGCTCACTGTTTCTCTCTCTCTCTCTCTCTCTCTCTCTCTCTCTCATAAATGAATGAATGAATGAATGAATGAATGAATGAATGAATGAAATTTAAAGATAGATAGATAATTGTCATAGAAAAATGGCCATCCATCATAAATGGTGGCCTATCTGGGAAAAGGGTCCTTGCAAAACTAACAGCATAAGAGAATCTTTGCAAAGGCCCCCACCCTACTACTGAGATGCAAAAGAAAGAGTGACATTCTAGGTCACATGGATTAAGGTTTAAATTCAAAGTTGATTCAACGGTTTTGAGCCTGGGGCCTCTAGTCTCCAGGGGGTCTGGGACCTGGCTGAACTTGTGTGCAAAATGTCTGTCTGGGCATCTTTGGGCAGAATGGGTTCATAACTTTCATCAGATTTTCTTTAATTTTTTTTTAATGTTTATTTTTGAGAGAGAGAGAGAGAGAGCGAGGCAGGGAGGGGCAGAGAGAAAGGGAGGCACAGAATCTGAAGCAGGCTCCAGGCTCTGAGCTGTCAGCACAGAGCCCGACGCAGGGCTCAAACCCACGAACTGTGAGATCATGACCTGAGCTGAAGTCAGACGCTTAACCGACTGAGCCACCCAGGCACCCCACTTTCATCAGATTTTCAAAGGAACTGCCTTGTAAAAGTCTGAAGACCAACCACCTAGATCCCATTTGCACTCTACATTCTCTCATCTCCCATCATGCGAGACCCATGGCCTCCCCCCTTCCCAACACTGGTATCACAAGATATCTCTTGGTAGCCTTAAAGGGGAGATATCATTGCCCCAACAGACAAAAATAGGCAATAGACATACGGACACCTTCCCAGCCTAAGAACCTGACCTTGGCCCTGCCCAAAGTATGCAGCAGAGACCTACCTGGTTTACCTGAACTTCATTCGGATTCGTCACTCGGTCCAGGCCATAGTCCAGCACATTGTTCATTCCCGGCTGAATGGAATAAAAACAACATAAGAACCACGACTGGAAAAGCCTCTACTTTATTATGATTCACTTTGGGTCTTCACCAAGCTGCCAGTTATGAGACTGAGCTAAGAAGGGCTTATGGCTTACCCCACAGGGTGCTACAAGCTACTGTAAGATGCTCTAGGTGAGCTGTTAAGCTTCATGGGTTTGTTCCACTACCACAGCATCCCCAGAACCCAACACAACAGGATGGATGGGTGGATAGGTGTATGTTTGGGGGAGGGGTGAATGGATGGATAGATTTATGGATGGATGGATGGATGGATGGATGGATGGATGGATGGATGAAAGGCAATATGGGTGGGTGGATGGATGGATGGATGGATGGATGGATGGATGAATGGATGGTTGGCTGGATGGATGAATGAAAGGCAATATGGATGGATGGATGGATGGATGGATGGATGGATGGATGGATGAACAGGCGGATGGAGAGAGGGAGGGAGGGAGGGAGGGATAAAACTCAAACTCAGTAAGAGTTCACTGGGATTTGTCCATAGGACTCTGACTCCTCTGGGAGTGCTCCTTCCCCACCCTACAGTGCAGTACTTTGAAGAGTCCAGGCTCCCGTCAGGCACATTTGGGTTCCAACCCTGGATCTGCCACTTCCTAGCTGTAAGGAAGATTTTGGAAACTATTTCTCCTCTCTACACTTGCTATCCCTCCCGAGGACTGGAGATGATCTCTCCTACCTGTCAAGTTCTTGTTGAGGATTTAGCAACATGACATGTGAAGCTCTCACCAGACAGTAGCTATTACTGAGCAAGGGCTTGGACCCATTTTAGGATCATGTATGTAAAGGCCTGGCCCCAAACGGGCCTCAGTCTTTACCAGTTCCCTTCTCCATCAGCAGCCAACTCTCCAGCCAATCTCGCTTGGTCTCTCCCAATTCCTTGGCCAACAAGTTGGGTCTTTCACTTCCTTCTCTGTTAGTTTGGTGCAGGCAACCATCAAATTCTCCATACGTGTGCTTAACCAGGCCTTCCACACTGATGCAGACGCCAGAGCCTGCCGAACTTTGTCCCCATCAGATTCAACCCCAATGGGATTCGCCACATTTTTAGCTCAGAGGTATGACTGCCCAATAAAATATATGGTGCTCAGTTAAGGGTGAATGTCAGATAAACAACAAAGAATTCTGATTCGTTATTTACATAAAAAATACGTTCCACGTGTTTTTAACGTAAATATACAATAAGCATAAAAATTTTGCGACATAAATCATTTGCTGTTTATCTGAAATTCCAGTTGAACTGGGCATCTTCTATTTCACTTGCTAAATGTGCCAGCTTAGCTCAGCGGGCTACCACGGGGGCAGATACTGGGCACACGGACTAGGCAAGGAAGAAAAAAAAGAAAGAAGTAGAAAGTGGGTGGGGAGAGAGAGAGGGGAAGGGAGCGGCCATCGTTACTCTAATTGTCACATGTGGGCTTCCATCAACAAATATTTATCAGGCACTTCCCATGGCTGACATTGCGCTCAGCCCAGAGAGCCCCTGGCCAACGTGACACCTCAAGGAATCCCCAGATGGCATCTCAAGGCACTTCCAGTCTTGTGGGCGAGGCAGCCCCTTGGCAATTAGTCACACACCCCCACCCAGGGGACTGCCTTTCTCCCTCTGCTGGTTTGGAAGGCTCCCAGCCTCCGCTCATTTGTTCCTTTACTCATCGGGTAGCACCAAGTGCTCGTTCTCCACGGCGGTCACCACCGCTGATGCCATTTCTGGCGCACAAGAGGGTGCTCAACGAAGACAACCCAGAGCTGACCGCCAGCTCACAGGAAACAGGGCGAAGACATCCCTGCAGTGGGCAGGTGGCCAGCAGATAAGGAGACGCGCAGATGTGCCCAGGGCTGCGGCCACACGCGGGAAGCCCGCAGAGACAGTCCCCCTGCGGTGAGTGCCAGCGGGTGACGCCCCAAGAACACCTCTTGGGCGTCGGCCAAAGAGGCGATTTGCTAAATGCCTCACAATTCGGGTGAGGAAAGGACCCTTGCACCCCCAAAGACTGCTCCGCGAGGAGGCGACATCCCCAGAAAGGGCGTTCCAGAGCAAAGCCAGGCTGGGAGCTGACGGACACTTCTTGGTGACACGCCACACGTCCCTCCCGTGCCTTGTCCTCCTCTCCCTCATCATCTCTCTTTCCCCTAACGTATCGGTTCAGACCCTTCCGGCACATGGAACAGAAAACAACAAAATGCCACACGGTTCCATAAACAAAATAAAGCAGGGGGAAGACAGAGAGGGGGCTGCACCAGGGGACGAGTCCTGGCTGGAACATCACTTCTACGGAGAGGTGCTCCCGGGCCCTGATCTGCCTCGAGACCCCGGCCTCTTTCGCGCTGTGCTGGCGTGCTGTATGGTACACACCCATGGTGCAAAGCTGTCCTTCTTCGTCCCTCCGCCAGACCGCAAGCCCCTTGAGGGCTGTCCTGGCTTAGAATTCAAATACCCCCATTGCCTAGGGGGCACTTGGCCCAGAGAGGGCATTTCTGATCATCTGGATCAGAGTATGTGGAGTTTTCCATCGGTTTTTATGACATAACGCTCTATGTCAGACCATTTTCCCAGGTCAACAAATGGCCTTTGAAAATGCTATTTTAGTAATTTAATATTTAATTGCAATGGTCCTTCATATGGATATAATCTTATATTTAAAGGTTTTTTGGTTTTGGTTTTGTTTTTTTTGGTTTTTTTTGAGAGACAGAGCAAGAGAAGGAGAGAAAGAGAGAGAGAGAGAGAGAGAGAGAGAGAGAATCCTAAGCAGGCTCCAGGTTCAGTGGGGAGCCCAACACAGGGCTCGATCCTACAACTGTGAGCTCACGACCTGAGCCAAAATCAAAAGCTGGATGCTTAACCGACTGAGCCACTCAGGCGCCCCTTAAAGATTTAAATCTATTGAGGCGCCTGGGTGGCTCAGTCGGTCAAGCATCCGATTTGGGCTCAGGTCATGTTCTCGTAGTTCCTGAGTCCGAGCCCCGCGTTGGTCTCTGTGCCGACAGCTCGGAGCCTGGAGCCTGCTTGGGATTCTGTCTCCCTCTCTCTCTGCCCCTCCCCCACTCGTGCGCTGTCTCTCTCTCTCTGTCTCTCAAAAGTAAATAAAACATTAAAAATTTTTTAAAAGATTTAAAGCCATTTATTTATTTAAATTTATTTTGCCATCTCGCTGTTGTTGGACATTCAGCCCAACCTTGACAGGAAACGGAAGGCAGCCACTCTCTTCTCTGGTGACCGGGCAGAGTTCACGGTTGACATGAAGGCCATTTAGCTTGATACTCAGACAAGCGACCGCGTGATTTAAAGCACACACCACCTGCATCCCTGGACCATATCCTTCATGTATCCATGGTCCAGACGTCAGCGACCAGATCCCCGAAAGACCCAGAAGTCACAGCCCGTGAAGCAAAGACGCACGGAAAGTCCCCAGGTGACTTCTCTGAAGGAACCGTTCTCCCTCGTTCTCCCTCTGCTGCCTTACACAATTAACTCTTGTTGGCATCCTGCCCGGATGCAGCAGGTTAAAAAATGGGAGGGGAACATCACTTTCCTTCATCATTCTCCCCTTCTAGACCCAGTCCCCAGCACATCCATGCTGAGTTACAGGCAGCGTTTGGGCTCAGGATGGGGGTTGGGCCGGATCCCTCAGCCACCAACTCCCATCCCACATCTCGAGGGTGGTCTTGGCCTCCGTCTGTGCTGATATCCCTCTACAGCATCTGGCACCACATTCCCACCACCCCCTTAACCGATCACCCCGCGCTGTGCCCCCTCAGCACTTAAGCCTTACCTCTGGAGCAGTGCTGCTAGCCCGTTACCACGATTTGGATTTTGCACCCCTCGAGCTAGGAGAGGGGACCACGTGCAGGCGCACCTCCCAGAGCGGGAGCTCGTCAGACAGATGTGGATTCACATCCCAGTGCTGTGCAACCTACTGACCATCTCTGAGCCTTGATCGCCGGCCCCGTCGGGATAACAGCGATGGGGAGACTCCCTATTGGGTGGCATTGTCATCAGGTAAGTGGGATCATCCTCGCCAAGGGCTTAATATGGGCAGGGGCTTGAGGACTTTTAGCAGTTGTTTTACGCCCAGAACCCACCTCAGCTGGCCCAGAGTCAGGGCCCATGAAGGTTTCACGGATCACTGAACAGACAAGGGGACAGCTGGGTAACAGCAAGCCATGTCCCATGCTATGACAGTTGGTTCCAGACAGTCCACACACAGTTGGTTCTAGACTCCACGGAGCCAAAAGCTTTGTTTGCCTGGCTGCCTTTTCTCCCACTGAGGTGACAGTTTGTTTGGGTCTCCTGGGGACAGTCTGACAGTCCCTAAGCCCCTGGGCTTCATGGGTCTGTCAGTCCAACTGCTCGATTTCTACCTAGGTTGAGACAGACTTCAAGCAGGACGCCCCTCAAACGGAACATTCCACCAGGAGGCGGACTGTGTTTTAAGAAAGTCGGGGAGATGGGGGCACCTGGGTGTGGCTCAGTTGGCTAAAGGTCCAACTTTGACTCAGGTCTCACGGCTTATGAGTTCAAGCCCTGCATCGGGCTCTGTGCTGATGGCTCAGAGACTGAAGCCTGCTTCGGATTCTGTGTCTCCCTCTCTCTCTCTCTCTCTCTGCCCCTCACCCCACTCACACTCTCTCTCTCTCTCTCAAAAATAAATAAGCGTTTTAAAAAGTTAAAAAAAAAAAGTTGGGGAGAGCAGGACCCAGATGCTCCCCAGCCTCATCTTTGACTTCTGGTCCAGCTTTGGCTTGGGGGGCAGCACTGACAGGGACTGGATGCGAGAACAGTTTTGCGCCCACGGGGTTTTACGACTGCCCCGGGTACACCAGAACGTCACGGCGAACTTGGCTCCCTGGCGCTATCAAAGAGGGACTGGGTACCTTGGAACCCTGGCATCATGTTCGTTGGAGCAGCAGCGATTCATGCAATGCGCTAATGACCGGGGGGGGGGGGGGGGGGGTTACAAAAAGGCCTTCGGATGCGCTAAGACATCACGGGACACTGTCGTGGGCGGCATAAGAGCAGAGGGACCGGAGAGAGAGCTCCTCTGACACTCACTAGCTGTGCAACTTTGGCAACATCCCTGAGCCTCGGCATCCTTATCAGCAGAATGGGACTAATAATACCACCTTCTACACGGGGCTGCAAAGATGAGATGAGGGAACGAATGCAGAAGGGTGCTAGCACAGTGCCCGGCACACACTTATGTGCTCAGTTGGGTCTGCTGTGATTGATGACGACGATGGCGGCGGCGACAGTCACAATGGTGCCGGTGGAGGCGGAGGAAGCAGGAGCAGTGGTGGGTGGGTCGGCGGTGGCACAGGTGATGGTGGAAGAAGCAGTAATCACAGAGTCGCCTTGTCAAATTCAGGGACTTGTGCATCATACCGTGGGGAGCCACTCGGCCAGTTGCCTGGGGCGGGGGCTGAGAGCTTTCCCCAAGACATGGGGAGAACTCAGATCATCTGGTTTTCACTCTGTTCCCTACAGGCCTCGTGGCTGCGGGGACAGAGGGGAGGAGAGAGGCCCGGGGCGGATCCTGTGCACAGCCCGTCGATGTCACGTTGCAAGCGATGCAGTCACCCGGCTATTTCCCCACCACGGAGTCTCTGCATGTACCACGGAAGCCATTCTCCACCGTGCAAGGAGCAGGGTCTCCTCCATCACGAGTGCCACGGGCACCAGGACATCTTGCCAGATGAGTGGCTTACCCGTCATTTGCCCTTATCCTCACCAAGGCTCCCCGGTTAGGAACAGATGACAGGAGGCAGGCTGAACAAAGATGTCACTCCTGAGCTACGAAGGGGAGGGGCAGGGAAGGCGTGCTTGGCTGTCTCTCTAGGACCCTGTCATCCCAGTCGGCACTCCTTCACCCAGGGGACCTGTGTCGGGCGTCAGCTAACTGGTTTGTCTAGGGGAAGGAAGCCCGAAACAAAGCAACACCCAACAAGCTTCTTGGGGATCAACCCCAGGACCTTGACCTCAGCAGCGAGGCGTGCAAATCGATGCCCCCACAGATGGCACACCGCATGCGATATCTGGTTCTGAATGTAGAAAGAAAATGGCCCAAATGGCCCAAATCTGACGAGCTCCAAGTTCAAAACCCCAGAAGCTTTGGCACCGTGACCGACCCAGCTCACGTGCTGGTTCTGAGAATTCGGCCACCTGGCGGGCAGGAAAAGTGGAGGAAGAAGAGGAATGACATTTGCGTTCACTTTTCAGAATCCCTGTAGCAACCTGTGGGCAGCACCTGGGTCTGACACTGGAGTAAACTGAGGCAGCAGAGTTAACCCCAGTGGGTGACCGTGACTGCACGCTTCTCTGCTGGGGGGCGGGACTACCACTTCCCGGTAACCAGCGGTAACAAGTGACGTCACTTATACGCAGCTTGTCTCTCTGGGCCACTTAAAGTCCCCGAGCTCTGAGCAGGGAGGCACAGCACACACTCCTTCCCTCTAGCCCCCTCCCGCCTCAGCTGCTGGGGAAGGATCTAGTAAAGCAAACGGAGAGGGAGCAAGAGACACAAGGCATGGCTTCCAGTTCCCTGCAGCATTTTACATGGAGCCTGGGTTCCAGTTTTTTCTTCCCGTGTTCCTTTTCCAAGGTATCATGGCGCACACACACACACACACACACACACACACACACACAATTCCACCTCTATATTATAAAAGGCAAGCTCATTCAGGTTCTTCCCACGGCTGGCTTCACTTAGACCCAACACCAACAGACCAACAGATGAGCCACAAGCTCATTCCTTCCAAGCCGTCTCTTTCCTCTTCCACCGAGAGGCACCTGGATGTTAACCCAACACTAAGCCACCGCTCTTGCTGATCCAGTTCTAGCCCCAGAGGGAGATGAGCCAGCAAAAGGGATGGTGAGGATGGGGTGACAGATGGGTGGGACCAGGAAGGGTAATACTCACAGGGCATCGGTGGACCAGCCAGTACGCCTTCTCCTGGCAATCCAACGCATACCTGTCTGCTTTATTCCTTTCCTTCCCAGTCCTGAAAAACCAAAAGCCGCATCAAGGCCAGTGAGACTTTGCTCCGTTTGCTCAGTGATGCAGCCCGTCCCCAAAGCCCCAGACCACTCCCCCTGCCTCTCCAAGTCATCTGTGTTTGCCCATAATCGTAACAATGACAGCAAACACTAATATCACCCTCTCGTGCTAGGTCCTCTCACGCATGTGAACTCACGTAATCCTCCCCAGTGACCTCGTCTCACCTCGCAGCTCGGCGGACTGAAGTAAAGACAGACTGAACGCCCCGCGGAGGGTCACGGTGGCAGCAAGGGGCAGAGCACGGCTCTACCCGACAGCCCTGTGCTGCGACGCAGCCACGCCACTGTGACTCAGCCCCAGAATCGAATCCCCTCCACCTTCACCACCACAGCGAGTGCAGACGACATTCGGGGTTGATGACATCGGACCACCTGGCTTAACATTTCCCTGCTTCGATAAACACCGTGGTCAACACCCGGACAAGTGGCAGCAGGCAATGCCAGAGCTTGCTACCAGGGACGATGCTGGGCCTCGGTCGTGCGTTCCCTCCCGGTCATTCCCGCTCTGTCACTTCACAGAGTTCGTGCCAAGTCGGGGTTTTTTCCAAACCCAACTGATTATGGTGAAAGGCTATTTATCTTCCCTCTTATCTCTCTCTCCCCCTTCTCCCATTATGGGTAGGAAATGATGCTGTGCTCTCCTCCTACGGAAGCCGGGCGACACTATGGTGCCAGTTCCACGGCTACCATTTCCACGGCGACCTGCAACCACGTGGCGGCGTTGGTTTTTCCGGTGGCAACGACATCACGCATTATGCCTCCTAGAAGACAGAGAGCATAGACTTATCCTTAATGCACCAAGAATAACATCATCACATCTAGAGGGTTTGTGGTGGAGGAGCCGCCATTCCAGTCGGCGCTGTCCTTCAAGCAAACAAATATAAACACCATCCCTTCTCCTTCCCCTTGCCGGCCTAACTGGATTGTGGTTGTTCCCACCCCAGTCCTTTCAGGAGGATGGGCCACAGACGGCCCGAGGCACTGTGGAGTTTCCACAATGCTGGAGAGTCTTATGAATACAAGTCGCATCAAGCGACTTGCAGCACTAGTCCTTTCAGTAATAGCATCAGATCACACGCTACAAACATTCGCTTAGATCCTGTCCCTCTCTCTGCCCCTTCCCTGCTTGTGCTCTCTTGCTCTGTCTCTCAAAAATAAATATTAAAAAAAAGAAGAAGAAGAAAGGCAACGTTTGTTGACTCTGCCTGTTGCTGCCTGACTCTTGATTTCAGCTCAGGTCATGATCTCATGGTTCACGAGTTCAAAGCCCACATCAGGCTCTGCATTGACAGCATGGAGCCTGATTGGGATTTCTCTTCCCTCTGTTGGCCCCTTCCCCTCTTGTGCTCTCTATCGCGAAGTAAATAAATAAATTTTAAGATATTAAAAAGAGAAAATAAAAAAAGAAATACAATTACATACTGCCTTATGAGCTCTAAGGAAAAGTTCAGGTGCTCTAATGCACAATCTCAGATGGCCCCTGTGGAGCTTGTTAATCTGTCTACAATTCCTTGGCATTCCTCCCATCGAGAGGAGGGTCTATGTCCTCCCCTCCTGGGACCCAGCTGGGTTTCTTGGGGCTGTTTCAACCCAATATAATATGTCAGAAATGGCACACTGCGATGTTTGAGGTTGGGCCCTAAAAGGTGGGACAGCTGCCATCCTCCTCACTGGAATATCTGCCCTTGAAGCTTCCAACCACCTGCAAGCAATGTGACTGCCCCAATGCCACCATGTTGGCATTGAGAGAGCCCAAGCAGTCCAGAGGCTACGAGGGCAGAAAATGCCCAGCCAGGTGCTGAGGGCCCCAGCTCCAGCCCTCCCACCACAACCATGTGAGAGACTCAGGTCCAGAACTGCCCAGCCAAGCCCTTCCCAAATTCCAGACCAACAGAAACCTTGAAAGATAATAAAGTGACTGTTGCTGTTTTGAACCACTTTTAGGATGATCTGTGTGCAATAACAACAACTAATCAGAAAAGCCTCTTTGAGCATGTGACATTTGAACTGAGAGATCTCTCACTCTGAAGGGTGACAGGGCTCTATTTTTGTTTCAAAAATGGCGGCAGGGGCACCTGGGCTCAGCCATCGAAGCGTCCGACTTCAGCTCAGGTCATGATCTCGCGGCTCATGAGTTCGAGTCCCGCGTCGGGCTCTGTGTTGACAGCTCGGAGCCTGGAGCCTGCTTCGGATTCTGGGACTCCCCCTCTCTCTGCCCCTCTCCCACTCACGCTCTGTGCACCTCTATGTCTCTCTCAAAAATAAATAAATATATTTTAAAAATAGGGGCACATGGGAGCAAAGAGGCCAACTGGGGGGATACTGCCATGGCCTGGGTGACAGCGAGGTTGGTTCAACCAACTCAGGGGAAGGGGGGGGCACACAGAAGGGAGGAGGTGGGGTGGCAGGAATTTTGCCAGAAGTGGCAACAGGACTGGATGACTACACAGGGGGCGTGAGGGCTTGTGGGCAGGAGGTAAACGGGGTTCCCCGTACTGATGGGGGTAACACTAGAGGAAGAGGTTTGGGGTGCGAGGGAGCGAAACATTCAAATACGAACAAGTTATGTTTGAGATGCGACATCAACATGCAATGAGTCTGGGATTCGGAATAGAGGTTTGTGTTGAGAGGCTCAGTATAACCAAATGGCTACCTCATGAGCCACCAACACATACACAGCCAACCTAACTTTGTGGTGAGACCCTGTGTTTGTATTAATCGGGGTTCTGCAGAGAAACAGAACCGGTAGGAGATAGATTAGATAGATAGATAGATAGATAGATAGATAGATAGATAGATAGATAGATAGGGGCAGAGTTTATTTGTTGAGTAACACACAACTGAGGAAGCTGGCAAGTCTAAATTCCACAAGACATGCATGCCAGCAGGCTGGAGACCCAGGAAACGGCTGACGTTGCAACTTGAGTCCAAAGGCAATCTGAAGGCAGAACTACTTCTGCCTCAGAAAACCTCAGTCTTTGGGGCACGTGGGTGGCTCAGTCGGTTAAGCATTCGACTTCGGCTCCCGATCTCACAGTTTGTGGGTTCGAGCCCTGTGTCGGGCTCTACACTAACCACTGGGAGCCTGGAGCCTGCTTCAGATTTTATGTCTCTCTCTCTCTCTCTCTCTCTGCCCCTCCCCACCCACACTCTGTCTCTCACTCTCTCTCAAAAATAAAAATTAAGAACAAAGATTAAAGGGGCGCCTGGGTGGCTCAGTCGGTTGAGCGTCCGACTTCGGCTCAGGTCATGATCCCGCCATCTGAGTTCAAGCCCTGCGGCGGGCTCTGTGCCGATGGCTCAGGGCCTGGAGCCTAATTTAGATGCTGTGTCTCCCCCTCTCTCTGCCCCTCCCCTACTCACACTCTGTGTCTCTCTGTCTCTCAATAACAAATAAGTGTTAAAAAAATTTGTTAATATTGTAAAAAAAATAAAAAATTAAAATAAAAAAAAAACACCCTCAGCTTTTTTAGTTAAAGCCTTCAATTGATTAGATCAGGCCCACCCATACTACAGAGGTAATCTGCTTTACTCCAAGTCTACTGATGTAAATGTTAACCTCATCTAAAAAATACCTTCACAGTGTCATCATAGACTGGTGGTGGCCCTGCTGTCTAGGTACCACGGCCTAGCCAAGTTAACACATAAAATTCGCCGCTGCACACCCTAGAAATGAAATTGGAGGCAGCCTTTGAGTTAAGCAATGGAATTAGTAGGGAAAAGCCAGTATCTCAGAAGGACAGAGTCTTTTCGGAATCTCTCATCCCAAAGCAGCTAGAAACGATGGAGGAGGGGATGCCCTATCACACAGCAACGCAGAGCTCTGTCCAGGCTAAGGCCAAGTCTGAGTGCTAGGGCCGGGGGAGCCACTGAGAATAGCCCTGAGTTGCACACACAGCTAGGGCATCCTGGAAGGCATGTCAGGGTCGCTGGGCTATCCTGCTCAGAGCAGAGAGGTAGAGGAGGATGAGGGGGTTCCAGCCCAGTGTGGAACCCAGTAGAAACTCAAAACTGGTGCATCGACTAGACCTAAGTAACACTAGCCCAGCCTTGACCATTACCTCAAGAGCGACTTTGCCAAGGACTTTTTAACCTCTCTAAGCCTCCATTTCCCCATTTGTGGATGTGAGGGGTGACAAGAGTTCCTGCTGTGAGCACTTGCTCTCACCATCATAAACGGAGGCGGTACAGGGAACTCACCAAATGAAACCTTATGAACAAACACAAGTGATGGGAGGTTAAAGCACTCCCCACAGCTGTTCTGCCTCAGGCACACCCAGGCAGAAACATGTCAGCGGCGAAAGACCCACTCCAGGTCTCTCAGTAATGCTCCTCTACCTGAATTTAAAGCCTCAGAGCAGACAGTCCCTCTCCAAAGCAATAAAGCCATCTGCCATTAGAACTTCTATGTCCCCCCCGCCCCCGCCGCCCCGCCCCTAACAGGCCCTTCTGCATAATAGTGCTCACCCTCTCATGATGGCTAATTTTATGTGTCAACTTGATTGGGCCATGGGGTGCCCAGAGAATTGGTCAAATGTTATTCTGGATGTATCCCTGAGGATGTTTTCAGCTGAGGGTATTTTAAAGTTGAAGGCCTGAATGGAACAAAAAGACTGATCTCCCCTAAATGAGAGGGGATCCCTCCTGCCTGGTGGCCTTGAGCTGGGACATCAGTCTTTCCTTGCCTTCAGGCTCAACTGAAACGTCAGCGTCCGGGCCTCCAGCTGCTTAGCCTCCAGACGAACCTATCACACCAGGGCTTCTGGATCCCCAGCCTGCCAGCCGTAGGTCATGTCACTTCGCAGCCTCTGTAGTTGTATGGGCCAATTCCTTATCATAAACCTCTGATATACATACATACATATCCTAGTATTTCTGTTTCTGTAGAGAGCCCTAACCAATCCACCACTACTCGGATCCCAAGGCTCTTGGATGAGATTCCACTGTTCAGCCCAGCCACGCACCAGCAAGGGTAGACCTTCCAGAAACTGGACCTGCCTGGGCAAGTGAGGCTGACTGGACTTACCCATTTTGGTGATATCTGGTATTGGTCCCCAGGTATTCTTGACTCCCCCACATCACAGGCACACAGTAGGATTGTACATCCCCACCCAAAGGAGTTTAAAGTTGGGCACAACCATAGAAGCCACTTTGTTGGGCTAATGAATTGTGAACACAAGTGACATGCATTGCTCGTGACCCATACAGGCTCTGCCTCCCTCTACTCCAGCAACAGGTGAAGCCTGGATGGTGCCGCTTCTTCAGCATGGGTCCTGGAGTGGGCACAAAGCATGTCAGGGCCCCAGCTAAGCCACAGTGGACATGAAGCGCAGGCAAGAAATGAACCCGTGGTTTCGTGCTCCTGAGGCTTGGGGGGATGTTTGTTATGACAGCCTAACATCGTCCTGACGGATTCACTCTCTGCAACATTGACATCTGGCTCTCGTAGACAAGGCAGAGCCTTCACGGGGACTTCCGGCTCCAGTTCTGAAGTGGACGGCAGGCAAATGAGACCAGTCGTGGGTGGTTCTACTGTGCAAATCTGCTTTAGATCTTTTTATGGCTCCGCATGGCCCTTAGCGCTAAACCCTCTCCCGATCTGCTCCTGCTAACATGTCGGGTCTCACTTCTCTTGGTTCCAGGCTCTGTGCTCTCTGCTCCAGCTACACAAAACTGCACCAAGTGGGCATTCCCCCGATTCCAGACTCTGGTTCTCTCTGCTTTGAAGATCCTTCCTCTCACCTCGCCCTTCTTCTCCATCCGCCAGCACCACCCTTCCCCCCCCCGGCAACCTCCTAGGCAGCTTCAGGTTCAATGCTGTTTCTCCAGCTCTCCTGCAGACACCTGTGTGAGACCTCATCTCAGTGTAGCATCACAGCCTGTTTGCTCGTCCGCCTGACCCCAGACTGTGCCTTCATATTCCCCATGCCGAGCCCAGCGTTTGACAGTAAAAGCCCAATAAAGGTTTGTTACGATAAAAGGAAACAAAGAAGGAAAGGAGGGAGGAAGGACCAACAGACAAACGTGATCTTTCACTCACTTGTACTGTTCTTTGGCCTGCATAATGACAAAGTCCCACTTGTAGTTAATTTTTTTGTTCAAGAAGTTGTAATTTTCCTAGAAATGGAGAACAAAAAGAACGCTAAGCCCTACAACATAGGCTATGTGCAGACGGAAGCAAGCTCTAAGTCAATGAGGGCGTGCCCCTGGCTCTAGACGCAGCCAGATGATCTCCCATCCCAGCTTTGCGAAGGCATTCGCTCAAAAGATAGCACTGAATTCTCAAAAAGCCTTCACAACAAAAGCCTTCACAAAAAGATCTAAAGCTTCTCAAAAAGCCACACCCTGGCTTGGATTTTTTTTTAATAAATGTATCCCAAATCTGATTAGGAAGAGGGGAACCGTGTGAGGGGAAATGTAGAAACTCAGTATTCAACAACAGAGCATCACAAATGCACAAAGACAAATCCTAACATTGGTATGATGTGGGCCCTTCGAAATACATATTTGTAAAGAATAAAAACACGGCAAGATTGTTGCTGTCTGCACAGGAATCTAGCCTTTTGAGGGATGCGTGTGTTCTTTGAGAAATCTGACTCATCTGGCCTAAAACCAAAGCTACACTATTGTTTTCCCATCACAAACTCAAGTTCACATCTGTTTATCACATAATGTCCATTATCATGCATATTAATTGTCTCATTAATAGGACAGCGAACGGAAGGGAGTAGCTAACGTGTGTCCAGCAGCCACTGAGGCAAGGGCTTAAATTACAGCAGGAGAAACTGAAGCTTGACATGGGGAAGAATTTATTTCAGCAAGCTGCTTCCAAATAGATGGACGGATGAATAGTAGATGGATGGATGGTGGGTGGATGGATGGATGGATGATGGATGGATGGGTGATGGATGGATGATGGATGGTGGGTAGATGGATGGATGGTGGATGGATGGGTGATGGATAGATAGAAGGATGGATGGATGATGGATGGGTGGATGGGTGGGTGGATGGTGGATGGATGGTGG